AAGAAGATACGAAAATATATGATGGATACTACAAACGAAATGCTCAAAAACGCAACTAGCTGTCGGCAAGAATCTAAATTCCAATATGGCGGCGGTGGAGAAGGCTGGACGTGCATTCAGTCAGTGCCAGTTCCCCATTTCCCATGGCAAAGAAACTCTACATATACAGAATAGAGGGCTCTGGGATCAAAAATTAACAATAAAATGCGCAAAAAATTCATTTCTTGGAGACTTTTGACATTTTTTTGTTTTCAACCAATCAGCAGCCGCCATTTTAATTAAGTTAATAATTTGTAATCTAGCGCCTGTGCATTTGGCTTGCCTACTTCTTATGCGGAGCGTTACTTAAAAGTTTTGAGAGGTGTCACTTGCTCGTGCGCACACCAAGGATTTTTGAGAGGTGCCGTAGGCTTTAGCGGCTCGTGCACACCAAGGTCAGTTTTTTGAGGGGTGCATAACGCGTAAAAAGATCAGGGTTGTGTGTGTGCGCTAAAAAAGTCTCAATTGACACAATTGAATGTGAATAAATGTTTTTTAATTATAAATTAACAGAATGTGAAATAATGGTTTTACATTTGAGAAACGTGGGATCATTGTCCGTTGATCAAAATATGAATAAATTTTGTTTTTTACTATTGATCAGTTTGTGGCAGAACTACAACAGCTCCATCAGGGTCTCCATGTTGTCCATGTCGGCATCATCTAATTCGGTTGGTGGGTTCCACTGGTGACCGTAAGGGTGAGACTGGAAGGTCTGGCAATCGACGATGCATTTATCAAAGACCAGTCCGTACTGTTTGGTGCGGGGTCCCACTCAGATCTGCTTGCTGGCGGAATCACGAGTGAAGAAGTAGGGGTTCATGATGGGAATGTTCCTTCATTGGTCAAGCGGATTGGTCAAGTCTTCCAGTAGGTTTTCTCTCATGATGTCATAGTTGAGTTGTTGGGAGCCACGCACATTGAGAGTGAACCCTCGCACTTTGCAGCAGACTTTGCCGAGTTTCGTCTTGTAGCCGTAATTTTTGGGTCCCGCCGAAGTGAAGTCGACAATGTAATCCTCAGCGTCCAGCTCGTTGGTCATGTCACCCAGGTAGTCGCCTAGGGGAATGTTGGCTTGACCGGGTTTGTGGGAGTAGACAATGGAATCGGTGTCAAAGTACAGCACTTGTTGCTTCAGTTGGTCGAGATACGAATAGAGCTTGAGACGGGCCCAGCAGGCGGTGAAGGCGGCCACGAAGATGTTGACGCGCCCGTTATCGCTTTGGTTGTCGCACAGGTCTAGGTAATCTATTTCGAGAACGTTGTCGGAGCAGATCCGGATGGCTCAGATGTCGCAAAAGCTGTTGGATACCAAACCGAAGAGTTCAGCTGGCAATGGGGCGGTTTTGGTGTGTTTCTTGTGGAGGTTTTCTCCGAGCTTGCCCCAGAAGGAGTTGAGCATCAGTTTGGGCGTGGCTTTCTGGCCGGGATTTTTTTGGATCATGGCGGTGTCGAGGGCGATGCCTTCTCGTTCTTTGTATTGGCGCACGTAGTGTAATTTGTCGTTGGGGGTGAGGCACCAGCCAGGGTACCTGGCAGATTCTTGTTTCATTTTTAGCCAGCTGTTGACGTAGTCGGAAAAGAGACCCTTGCGTCTTTTCTTTGGGGGAAAATGCCACACCTTGTGAATGTGCAGGACGATGTACCTGTGTCGAACAGCTTCTTGAATTTCGGGTGTGCACCAAGTTCTGCGCAAGGCGTGCTGAGTCTCCGTGTGTGAGCACCACCACAATTTGTCCAGCTGAAGAAGTGGCATTTGGTCTTGGACGCAGGAGCGGCACAGAGGAAAGGTGAGTTTACCGGCCGGGCGATGCAGTAGCACGGGATGGTAAAGGTGTGGAGGTGGAAGGATGTCGATGTAGGCCATGCCAAAGTAGTGGTGGATGTCTTGGTCGGTGGGGTTGGTGAGGATCTCGGGATGTCCAACAGGGTATTCGCAAGTCTTGTTGACCCACGAGTACAGGGAAGTCACGTCCACGTATTTGATTTGTTCGCCCTGGCTCTGGTCGACGGGGTGGTAAAGACGTACGGCATTGGTTCTGCCACCGAAGAAGGCATTGCGCGGTTCTAGGGGGTCCACTTTCTGGTAGGTGGCCAAGAATCGTTGGAGGGCCTCGTTGGTGTTGACCTCCCGATCCCAATTGCACTCCCACATGATCTTGAGATGGTAGCTGTGCTGCTTGAGAAGGGTCTGTTTCTTCAGCGTGTGCTCGTACATTTCTTGCAGGGTGCGATCGCGATTGATGTTACTGTATTGTTCCCGATGAGGATGGCGATGGCAACAAGGGCATCCGTGCCAGAGACAGCAACTCGTTGCTCGCCGCTATTGCTGACGTGCTTGATGTGGTCTGCACAAGGCTCGGGGTGGTTGGGCTGTCATGACGAAGGTGTTCCTACCATGCTAGCCACTTGGAGGCCTTGGTGGACTGGTTGGATCGAACCCCGTGCCAGCCGCGAGGGAGTTTGGAGGCGATGGTGTTAGGAGTAGTTTCTTGCACCAGAACCAGTGGCACAAAGAGGCGACCCTGTAGCATTTTTCCATGTGGTCAAAGCCGGCCTTTTACTTGAATTGCTGTCGGAATTTCTGGCAGCACGCTTTGAGGAGCTTGACGTCGCTGATGCGGTAAGCCTCCATGTCCCTTTTCAGATGGAAGGTGTAGTTATTGTGGACCTTGTCGGCATACCAGCGCTTGAATTCGGATTTTTTCTTGGTGGACATACCGTCAGGATCGTAGCTGGAGGCTGGAGGCATGGGTCCCCGGTACTCTTGGTTTTGTAGGGTGTCGAAGAGATGAGGGAAGAAACCCTTGGTCAATTCTTGGATGCCGAAGGTGGTGGGAAAGTTGGCCAGCGGCATGGGAAGAAAGCAGAGCGAGTCCTTGAAGGTGAGGCGATCTGTCATGAAGGAGAGGATTTTGGTAGTGAGGGTGATCTGGTTGGTGACTTCTCGGTGATGATGGTAACAGTAGTCAAGGAGAAACATGCCGTCGTAGCCCTTGAGGTTGTGGAAGATGATGATGACGTCCCGATCGTCGCCGTCTTGG